CGATGCCAGCTACGAGAATGCCACCAAGCTGAGTGTGCATGCAGGAGATGTTTGATGAGCCACATCGGCACAATCAGGAGCCACTTAGGAGATCCTGAGGAGCAGCAGGTGGAGCAGATGGTTGAGGTGAGCGCCGAGCTGCATGAGAAAGACCAGTGGAGCCCAAAGACGATACACTACGACTACTACACTGGAGAGCCTCTGGATGAGGACCTGTATCAGAAGGGTCGCGACGACGAGCTGCAGGCCATGAAGGACTACGGGGTCTACGTGGAAGTGGCGACATCGACGGCGACCGACGGCAAGCACATTGGAGGTTTCCCGATAGCCCACATGAAAGAAGGAAAGGTCAGGTGGAGGTTCGCAGCGACCGAGGTGAACAAGTACGAGGTCAGGGAGGACAACCACCAAGGCACGCCCCCGCTCATGATCGTCAGAGCGACGCTGAGCCGTGCCGCTTCAAGTCCAACTTCCAGCGGGCAGCACCTGCGGAAGATACAAGTCTGGGACGTCAGGAAGGCTTTCTTCAACGCTGACTTAGACGAGACGATCTACGTGCATCCTGGGAGAGAGCTGTGTCCGCCTGGAAGGTGCTGGTGGTTACGCAAGGCCATGAACGGTACCAGGAAGGCGTCGCAGATGTGGGGTGAGCTTGTGAGAACTACTATGGACGACGGCCATTGGGAATGCTTGGTTGGAACTCCTAACGTGTTCTACTTACCTGCTAGCCCCAACACAGCCCCCTTCGACGAGGATAGCACAGCGATCTGTCATGGCGATGACTTTCTTGCTGAGGGCTACGACGAGCAGCTGGACGAGCTGGACGAGTTGTTGAAGCAGCAGTTTGAGGTCACGGCCAGCGCCAGACTTGGACCAGGAGCGGTGGGGCAGACTACATACCTCAAGAGGACGATCGGCTACACCGACAAGTTACCAGGTTGCGAGGAGCCAGGTTTCTTCTGGACTGCCGATCCCAAGCATGTGGACTTCATGATCAAGTGGACGCAGAAGCGTGGTTGTAAACCAGCTCCTACTCCAGGAACGAAAGCTACAGGACAAGGCCGACGAGACAGCCTAGACCTTCTTTCCAAGGATCGTGCTCGAGAAGTGGCGGGTGCAGCTGGCACCGCTCTTTACCTTTCTTCGGACAGGCCCGACACGATGTACGCCAGCAAGACAGCGATGCAGCACGTCTCCAACCCGAACGTCTTGATGCATGCGCGTGTTCAGCGACTTGGAAGGTACTACGAAGGACAGCCTGTGTTGGTCTGGTGTTACCCACTTCAAGGTACTCCTGAAGGCATTCGTGTAGATGGTGACGCGGATTGGGCACCTACGAGTGAACTACAGCGGCGATCTACCAGTGGAGGAGCTGTGAGGTATGGTGACCACACTTGGGACTGCTACTCAGTGACGCAGAGTACGATAGCCCTAAGTTCAGGGGAATCCGAGATGTACGCTACGGGAAGTGCGACAGCCAGAGGACTTCAGTGTAAGACTTACCTGATCGAGACCCAGAGGCCCTGCAACCTGAAGATCTATAGTGACAGCACAGCTGGACGTGGCGATGTGCAGCGAGTTGGGGTGGGCAAGGTCAGGCACCTGGAGTTGAGGTACTTGTGGATTCAGGAGCGGTTGCGTCTCAAGGCGTTCGAGCTGCACAAGGAGGACACCAGCAAGATGACAGCCGACATGCTCACGAAGTACAGCGAGTGGCCGACAATCGAGAAGCATTGCACCACTCTCAACCTCAGGTTCGGAAAGCAGTTGAAGGGCTTGAGCGCAATGGCAGTTTTCACGGAGGTCGTGACGAAGGCGTCAGGCGAGAGGGTGACAGTGTACGGAGGTTCTGACGAGGTTGCGGTTTGCCCCGCGCCTGTCAGCCACTACGTGGACAGCGAGGAGTTCTGGTTCTTCCTGAAGTTGGGACTAGTTGTGGTGACTGCAGCCAGTGCTTTCTTACTGGGGTGCTGGTGTGGTTGTTACTTCAAGGACTTCTACGACAAGTTCCTCCTCCAGGGTGCGGTTGACCCCGCCTCTGGAAGCACGTGTATACCATCTGCGCGGGCTGACGTCGAGTTCAAGACCGTGTGTGTACAGCAGGACAAAGGAGCAAGGCACAAGCTCTTAAGCACGTTTCTTGTAGCTGACCTGCGAGCTGTCTTGAAGGCCAAGAGCCTGGCCGTGTCAGGGATCAAGGAGGACCTGGTCACGAGGATGATCAAGCACGGATGCGTTCTGTCGGATCGCCAGGCCAAAGAGATCGAGCAGCTGCGGGTGATGGCTACAGCGCGAGGACCTCTTGCCAAGCTCAGCTTGCAGGACATCAGCAGTCCAGAGGCCGCGCAGAAGTGGATCGAGACGTTCAAGAGCGAGTGCGGAGACCGTTCCAGAGGCTCTCAGGTGATCCACGGAGAGGGCTAGGATAATGGTCGCAGGAAGCACTACGACAGCCGAAGGTGAGCTTTCTTTTACAGGCTGCGGTTTGCCCCGCGCCTGCCCTCTGCGGGTAGCCCCGCGATGGGCTTAGGCGGGCAGCGCCGTTGCGAGGCCTGCTAAGGGAGCACAAAGTGGTTTCCCTGTGGCTCACATTTCTCGGCTGGAGGCCGAGCCGCTTCCAGCGCCCAAGGAGAGGTGCTGGGAAGTTTGTAGTTTTACATATATATGTGATTATAGAAAATATAATCAGACTGTCCTGGAGGATCCAGGAAATCCTGCAGCCCTTTGTTGCTCGAGGAAAAGAGCGACCCTCACCTCCCCCCTTTCTCCGCGAGGGGGGTGGGTGCGCGTGCAGGACGGCATCCCTGGAAGTCCCGACCCTTTCCCCGGGACCGGCTTCTCGGCCCGAGCCCTTTTTTGACGGTCCCGAGGCCCAGCGAGGGCCCCCCGGGGCCGAAAATAGCCCAAAATTTCCCGTCCCGATTTTTTCAATTGATGGGCTTGTTTTCCACCACCACCACCACCACCACCACCACCACAAGTCGGAGGCGGGAAGGAGGTGGAGGACGAGGAGGAGGAGCAGGAGGAGGAGGAGGAGGAGGAGGAGGAGGACCCCCTCCCCCTCCAGCTGGTGGTGGTGGTGGTGGAGAGCAGGCCCACCTCCAACGACGCGAGCATGCCTGGGCAAACGACGCTGTAGGGCGCGGCGTGGCCTCTGCGCAGCGCGGCGCGGGCCGCCCGCCGGCGGCGGGCGGCGGCGCGCCGCTCCGGCCCCTCGCTCGGCCGGCAGGCGGACGCGGGCGCCGGGCTCTCCACGGCCTGGCAGCCGCCCGCTGCCCCGCCAGCCGCGGTCCGAGACCTCCTCGTCGCCCTCGTCGTCGTCGCCCTCCTCGTCGCCCTCGTCGTCGTCGTCGTCCTCGTCGCCCTCCTCCTCGTCGTCGTCGTCGGCATGATCGCGTCGTAAAGAGGTCAGGGCGGGCAGTTTCTGGCTATCTTCGGCCCCGGGGGTCCCTCGCCGGGCCTCGGGGCCGTCAGAGAACAACTCGGGACGAGCAGCCGGTGCCGGGGAAAGCGTCGGGACTTCCAGGGCCCCCCGTGCTGAAAGCATCGAGGCGTCGCATGTCTGGGGAGGTCGCCGACGGTGTGACTTTTACGAGCGTGGCGTCTGTCCCTGGTGTCTGCCCCCCGAGGGGGGCTCGCCGGGCCCGTCGATGCAGGCGGGGGCCGTCCTGCGCCATCTCCGGTGCGAGCACGGCGCCCTCCTGCCACGCGTCCGCCGCTCGCCTGCGCGAGATCGCAGCGTCGAGTGCATGCTTAATTACGGTAGGTTTGCGTCGTGTCGACCAGCGGCGACCCCAGCGCGGGCGTTCAAGGTTGAACGCCGCCGGCGACCCAGAATCGATCGATGTTGAACGATCGGACGTTGCGGCAGCGGCCGATGGTTCCAGGTTGAACGATCCCTGCGGTGTCCAAAAACCAACGCTGGGGTCGGCACGGCACGAACCTGCCGTACGCCTGCTGAGCCCGCTTGGCGTCTTGGCCCACTCGGCTGCCCATCGGGCCCCGGGGCCACCCAAAGAGGTTCCGGGAGGAGAATCAGGGGCAACGATAGGGGGGGATAGGCACAGGCATAGGGGGGGATGCATCGACCCCCAGTCGCCCATTGATCGCCGCTAGGAGCTCGATTGCCCCAACCTGCCCAGGAAGGTACGGATTCACTATCGGAGGCCTATCGCCGATCTATCGGCGATACATCGCCGATTCCACGTCGATGCTTCCCCCCCTATGCCCATCCCCCCCAATCGTTGCCCCTCAGAGGACGTATTCCCGGGGGAGGGGTCACACTTCTTTGGAGAAGCATCGCATCGTCAGATGTCTGCGTCCTCGTCGTCGCCGCCGCCGCCGCTGCCGGCGAGGCCGCTGTCGGCAGCCAGCGGTGTCGTCGGCGGCGTCGTCGGCTTCCTCTGCCAGCATACAGTTTCCTTCTGCTCCTCCGCCTCCTCGGTCCTGATCTTCCTCCCACTCCTCCTCTTCCGTCTGCTCCTCCTCCTCCTCCTCATCCGCCTACTCCTGATACGCACTGAAGGTTTCGTTCGTTTCGTTTCTCATCATCCTCCATTTCTCATCCTCATTTCCCGTTTCAACATCCAACTCCTCACTCATGTCCTCCTCGTTCTGATGCTCTTTGTTCTCATGGGATGGCGGCTTCGCCTCTGAACTGGTTTGACTACGCCCGCGACGCCCCAGCATGGCGAAGATGGGGGTCTGAATGTTTGCAGGATGCAGTAGAGTCGCGCCGCGGTGCTTTTCCACCCATCCCCGTGGTGGGACAGGCTAGCCTGATGCGGTGGCTCTCGCTTTCTCTCTCTTTCTCTCTCTTTCTCGCTCTTCTCCTCGACCTTTCATCCGCCCCCCTCCTCCACCTCCTGCTCCTCCCTTTCCTCATCCTCATCCTGGTTTTCCTCCCCTTTCTCCTCCTCCCTGCCGCCTTCTTCTCTTCCTCCTGCTTCCCGTCTTCCTCTTGGTCCCCTTCCTCCCCGCGGTCCCGGACTTCCTCGCCAAGAAGGCTTGCTCCTTCAGACACTTGCCGGATGAACCGCTGCCGAAGGGCGAGGCACGGAACGAGCCCAGGATCGTCGTGGCGCACTTTGCCCGGCTCTCGCCGCTCCTCCCCCCACCGGAGCCCAAAGAGGAGGATGAGGAGGGATGGAGACAATGGAAACGAGAGGACGAGAATGCGGAGGAGGAGGAGGAGGAGGAGGAGGAGGAGGAGGAGGAGGAGGAGGGCAAGGAGGAGGTATGGCACTGTGGATGGGTAAGCTGCGTGATGCAGCACAAAGCGTCTCTGCGGTCGGGTTTCGAAGAGCAGGCACGCAGCCTCGGGTACCCCCCCGCAGGCAGCCTCGGTGCCCGGCAGCGGGCAGGAGCAGGGCGGATCCTGGGACGCCCCATACAGGCAGCAACGGTTAGGTCGGGCTTGTCCCTCTACAGGGGGGAAATTCAAAAATAGCAAAAAAATAGCTAGGGGACTTTTTTTTTTTGTTTTTTGTTTTTTTTTATTTTAAAAATATATATATATATATATATATAATAATAATAATAATAATAATTAAGTTTGGGCACTTGTGGAGGGTATGTTTGAGTACTCTTCATTGTTCGTCCAAGAATCCCCTGTAGGAGGACAGGCCCGACTTGAAGCAGCGGGCCAGAACGCGGCGAAGGCTTTGGGCACCGCCGCGGGCGGCAGCGGACGGCAGCCGGCCAGGGCGCGGCGAGGCCTCGGGACACCCTCACAGACAGCAGCGGGGCAGGGCGTGGCGAGTCCTCGGGACACCCCCGCAGGCGGCAAGGGGGGCGGCAACGAATTGGAACGTGGCGGATCCTCGGGACACCCATCCAAGTCTCCAGAAGCGCAAATCAGAGCCCCTCAACAGAGTACAGGCATTGCTTGGGCACTAAACTTCAAACTGCACCTTGTCGTATGCTGTCTGGACCTGTAGCATGAACATACCTACGATCTCAGTGTTAGCCAGCGTGGACCCCAAACAGTGCGTGCCTATCACTGTAGGATGCGCACTGCAGATGTTTATACACACACGTGCACGCATGCATGCATACCGACTTACCTACGTACCTATATACCTACATACTTACGTGCATGCATAAAATCCCGCATGTATCCATGTGCACACACATTCACATATATATATATATATATGTACACATATGCATACATACACGCATACGCACATTCATGCATACACACAGACATACACAGTTACACCTACATGTGTACGTACATGCATGCGTGCATGCATGTTTACATACACACATATATACACACGCACGTGCATACATACATACATACATACATACATACATACATACAGACAGACAGACAGACAGACAGACAGACAGACAGACAGACAGACAGACAGACAGACAGACATACATCACTACATCCATCCATCCATGCATCCATCCATCCATACATACATGTATACATATATGCACACATACATGTATAGATGCATACATACATGCATGTATGCATACACACATGGGTAATGTATAAGCAGAGGTGGTTCAATACATGTCGTGCAACATATGCATATTGTCTAACATGTGTGTCGCCACACATATATATGATATGTGTGTGGATGTGGGGCGACCTAAGAGGTACACTATCTGTTGTGCAAACTATGTGATGCAACTGATGCAATGTATTTGGAGGAGGAGGCGGAGGAGGCGAAGGAGGAGGAGGAGGAAGAAGAGGAGGAGAAGGAAGACGTCGACGTGGACGAGGGCTGAGGGAGGAGGGACACGAGGAGGAGAAGGAGGAGAGGAGGAAGAGTTGGGGAATGGGGGAGGAAGAGGAAGAGGAGGAGGAGGAGGAGCCAGGGATTGGGGAGGATGAACAGGAGCGGAGGAAGAGCAGTGGGGAAGAGTAACAGGCAGAAAAGGAAGAAGACGAATACCAGTAATAAGTATAACAGAGGGAGGTAACGAAGAGGAGAAAGGGGGAAGAGGAGGAGAAGGGGGGGAGGAGGAAGGGAAGGAGGAGAGGAGGAGGAGGAGGAGGAGGAGGAGGAGGAGGGAGGCGGCGACCCTCTGCAGGTTTGTGGTGGGGCGCTGGCAGGCGTTCCTGCTGTCTGGGAGGGGCGCGGAGGCCGTGCAGGGTGCCTTGGCAGCGCAGGCGGAGGCCGTCTTCTTCTTTCTCTTTGTTTTGTTCTACCTATTTTTCCAACCCTCCTCCTCCTCCTCCTCCTCCTCCTCCTCTCCTCCCTCTCCTCCTCCTCCTCCTCCTCCTCCTCCTCCTCCTCCTCCTCCTCCTCCCCCTCCTCCTCCTCCTCCTCCTCCTCCTCCTCCTCTCCGTAGCCATTTTGGCTCAAGATGCCTAGTTCCACAGGGGAACAAGTGGATACCGCTAGTCCGCGGCCAGTGCCAGGGCTCTTGAGCCCGACAGCCCCTTCTCGATCCCAAGTGCAGACTGCAGCACCATGGCTGGCGCCGGCCGAAAGGAACGCCAGGATTGGGCCTGCAGGAGCTGTACGACGAAGCGCGGCAAGCCGCTCATCAACTTCGGGACCTCGCTCAAGTGCCAAGGGTGCAGGCTCCACAAGAAGGACGTGTACGGCGGGCCTGTGCCGCCGAAGGAGCCCTCGATGCGGGCCCCAGCCAAGGGCAAGAAGCGGGCCCCGTGGACGGCCGAGGGCAAGCTCGAGAGCGAGCTTGCGGCCATTCGGGCGGAGCTCGACGCTGCCAGGAAGAAGCTTCGCACGCAGGAGTCCGACCAGGGCGGGGCCGCGCCCATGCACGTGGACGAAGGCAAGTCAGGCGAGGACGCCTCGGCTGCGAGCGAGATCAAGGTGTGCGAGGCAGGCCTGGCCACGCTCAAGGACGTGCAGCACGACTGGGCCACGGGCCCGCGGGAGGATCTCAAGCGCAGGCTCGCCGCCGCCAAGGACAGGCTCTTCGCCGCCAAGCCGCTCCACGCGCGGGTGCAGGCGCTGGCCCACAGGCAGAAGAATCTGGCGGACAAACTCAGCAAGATGGAGCTGGCCGAGCGCGAGGCGGAGGACCGTGTCAAGAGGCGCAAGACGAGCTGGAGCTCAAGCGGCAGGGTGTCAGAGAGCTCAAGGCGCAGCAGGTGGCCCTCCAGGCGGAGCAGGCGGCACTCCAGCAGCAGGTCCCAGTCGCGCCAGAGGATCGTCCGCCTGGGCAGTCCATGGAGCACGACGTCATCAAGAACACGGGCGGCCTCACCCTCGGCGACCTGGCGCAGGCTCTCAGCGGGGCTCTGGCCGCTCACCCCGACGACACCATGCAGACCGCGGGCGATTTGCCGCAGCGGCTGGCCTCGGCGCTCGGCGGGCCCCTCCAGGAGCTCATACTGCGGCGGCAGCGCGAGCGGGCCGCCGCCACGGAGGCAGCGAGCGCCCCTCGCACCCCTGCAGCGCCCGTCGAGGGAGACGACGCCGCCGCCGCCGCGCATGGCGCAGGCACTGCAGGCGGCGCCGCCCCTGCAGCCGCAGCGCCGCGCTGGGATCCCGCCGCGATGGAGCCCGAGAAGCTGCGGCAGACCATGGCTGAGTTCTCGCCAGGGCCAGCAGAGGAGACCAGCGACGCCATGCTGGCGCGGGCCACGGAGCTGGCCGTCAGGGGCTTCAATCCTTACTAAGCTCATCATCGCGATGTCCTGCACACTTGCGATGGCGAAAGGCACTATCACTACCAGCAACGTGACTTCCTGGGGTTCATTGGCGCCGTGCCTAGAGACCCTCGAGTCGCACGTCGTTCTCGTCCAGGAGCATCACCGACGGGACGAGGCGAAGCTCGCCGACCTGCAGCACGAGGTGCTGGATCACGGGTTCGCGGGCATCTGGGCGCCAGCAGTGGCAGGCCCCACCTCCGCGGAGGGCACTACGGGCGGCGTCGCGGTCTTGGCCCGCAAGAACATCCCCGTCACGGCCCCGCCGCTGCTGCCCTCGGCGACACTGTGGCCAGGGCGACTGGTGGCCGCCCACGTGCACTGGGGAGTCCGTGGCGGCATTGTCTTCGTGTCGGCCTACCTGGTCGACAGCGTTGGCATGAACGACGTGAACCGAAGCATCTTCGGCGCGCTCACTCGCTACCTCACGAAGCTCACGGCCTCGGGCATCGATTGGATCGTCGGCGGCGACTTCAATGGGCCTCCCAGCTGCCTGCCCCTGGCGCAGTTGGAAAAGGCGGGGGGCCTCTGGCTAGCGCCGTCGGCCGACACCTGCCGCCCACAGGCGGGCAGCGGCTCGGTGCTGGACTACTTTCTGGTCGGTGCAAACCTGGCCAGCCGCATCTCGGCTCCGAGAGTGGATGAGTTGGGCATCACCTCCCCGCACCTCCCTGTCAACATGGAGCTGCGGGCCGCCGACCTGGACATGCGCGTGAGGATCCCGATCGCCCCCAGGGCGATTCCAGCGGTGCCGCCCATCGGCTGCAGCCGCGGTGTCGAGGACTGGGCGCCCGCTTTGGCCCAGGTGCGCGCCACAACCAGCGCCGAGGAGCTGCCAGCAGCCTGGGACGCCGTCGTCAGCACCTTGGAGCAGGAGCTGTTGGACCGCTACGACCAGGTGGGCGCAGCGCGCAGGCGGTTCGAAGGACGTGCGGGGCCCATTGCGACCAAGCTGGCGCCAGTCAAGTGGAAGCCGCAAGGGCAGCGTGTCCGATTGGGGCCTGATGTCATCGCGGCCAAGGTCGCGGGCCGATGGGCGCGGCACTTCATGGGGGTCAGCGCGTTCCTCGCGAAGGCCAGCAGGAGGCTGCAAACCGCCAGCCTGCAGTGCTCCCTCGCCCCTGAGCAGTACCACGAGCTGGCGGACTTCGTCGCGAGGGCTTTGGAGTATGGGCGCGTGGTCATGGACAGCAAGAAGACGCTGGCACTGCTCCCGCATTGGGTGAGGTCCTTCTTCGAGCAGGGCTTTCGCGTGATCGGCAACACCGACTTCCTGGAGCAGGCGGGCCGCATCGTCCAGTTCGCCAAGGACGCCCACGCGGACGCGCTCAAGGTCAGGCAGCAGAGCTGGATCCAGTGGGCCAACGACAGCCTGCGGAACGGCGCTGGCAAGGCGCACCGCTTCACCAAGCTGCGGGCGATGCAGGAGGTGCTGGCGCAATGGCAGGGCACCCACACCGAGCTCACCACTGGACGGCTCGCCCAGACCTTCGTCCCGCAGCAGCAGGTCGCCAGCCAGCACCTGATCTGCGACCGGGAGATGAAGGCCTGGGAGGACGTCTGGTCGTGCCACAAGCTCGAGGCGCTGGAAAGGCCAGCTGACTTCGACGAATGGGACGACCTCGAGGACCTCACCGTGGAGGCGCTGCAGCGGGCCGCCTGCAGCTTCCCCACCACCACGGCGCTCGGCCCAGCGCAGATCGGCATGCGCGCGCTCACCTTTCTCACGGACGACGGCGTTTACACCTGCGGCCAGCTCTTCATGAAGTGCGAGGCGCTGGGGGCTTGGCCCAGCGACAGGCTGTGGCACGCTATGTGCCGCATCCCCAAGGCCTCTGGCGGCTGCAGGCTGATCACGCTGATGCACTCGCTAATCCGATGGTGGTCGAGGGCTCGTGCCTCGACGTCCAAGGCGTGGCTCACGGCGCACCCCAATGCCAGTATTTGGGGCATGGGCGGCGGCAGATCTTCCTCCGACTCCGCCTTCGACCTCAACCTTGAGACGGAGGTATCGGACTGCCTGGACGAGCACGTCGTAATCGTCATGCTGGACGCCTGGAAGTTCTTTGAGACGATTAAGCCCGAGTGGCTACTCATCGAGGCGCGGCTGCTGGGCATGCCGCTGCGGTTGGTCTGGATGTTGATTGAGCTATACAGGCAGCCGAGGCGGCTGCAAGCTTTCGGCTCGGTGTCCTACGCGGTCGTGTCACATCAGGGCGTGCTCGCAGGATGCACTCACGCCTGTGCCATGGTCACCTTGCTCATGTTCAGGCTGCTCGAGCAGGTGCGAGATGCAGGCGTCACCCCGAGGGCCCTCATCGACGACGTCACCTTGCAGTGGCGCGGGAGGCGGCTCTCGCAACTGGGCGTGCTTTGGGCGGCCACCACCAGGTTCCGCGAGGGCGCCCAGGAGCGAGGCATTGTCGTGCAGCCCACCAAGTCGGGCTACTTGGTCTCATCGGACGCAGCTGCTCGCGAGTGTGCCCGACACGCGGCGGCCCGCAAGCTGACCAAGATGCGCTGGGCCCGCAACCTGGGGCACGATCTGGGCGGGCGCAGAATCGCTAGGCTCCAGACGGCAAAGCGGGTGCGGCAGCTCAAGGAGCGGCGCGGCAAGTTGGCAGCTTTCAAAGGGGCAGTGGGCAGGCGCGCTACCTGCCTGTGGAAGACGGGCCTCATGCCGAGTGCGGCGCACGGGGCTGGGGTGTCAGGGCTCACCGACGATACGCTGCAGGTGCTGAGGGCCGAGGCTGGCAGGCTTGCAGGGGCTCGGCCAGGTGCATCGAGCGTCACGGTGTATTTAGCCACGCAGAAGGCGCGCGAGTACGACCCCATCTACGGCGCCACCTGCGACATCGTTTGCCGATACGCCAGCTGGATCTGGGAACACGCACCTCCCTGGCTAGGCTCCACAGGGCCTGGGCCAAGGTCACGGAGCGGCTCGTGGGGCGCCCGTCTTGGGCAGGGGCTCGCGGTCCCATCGCCTCCGTCACGCTGACGCTCTGGCGCATCGGATGGCACATGTACTCCAGCACGACCCTGGTCACCGACCAGGACACGGCGATCAACCTCCTCACCACGTGCCCGAAGGACGTCAGGATGCATCTGACCGACGGCGTGCAACGCTGGCAGGCGAGGCAGATCGCGGCGCACCACCGCCAGCACGGCGAGGTCAAGCCGTGGGTGCGGGCCATGCGGCTCTGCGTGGGCGACGGGCGCGCGGCGTTGGCGGAGGGCCCGTCGGCCACCAGCCTGCGTCACCACTGGGCGGCGGTGGCCTGGACGCAACAGGCCCAGCACGACCTTGGGCTGGCGGCGGCGCCGAATTGCAGGGCCTGCGGACATCCGTCCGACTCGCCTGGGCACAGATTTTTCGGCTGCGAGGTACTCGTGCAGCCGCTCACAGAGGAGGAGCAGGACGAGCAGCTGCCGCCCGAGCCGATGCAGGCCATCCGCACCTTCATGTGCGACAAAGGCCTGCAGGAGGGCGG